TTACAGATGTTAGGGTTTGTTTTTTTTTCTTCCAGGACAGAACGTTTGGCTAGAGATATCATGCAAGACATGGGAAACCACCACATTGTTGCACTCTGTGTCCTTAAAGGAGGCTATAAGTTCTTTGCTGACTTGCTGGATCACATAAAAGCACTAAATCAAAATGGTGATAAGTCTGTGCCTATTACTGTGGATTTTGTTAGAATAAAAAGTTACTGTGTAAGTAAGTTTCTTTTCCTTGGAAAATTGATTCTCCTCGTATGTTGCCATTCTGAATACTAAATATTTATAAGGAAGTTCCACAGAAACCAAATTTATCATGTTTAGAGCAACTTCTGTTCCGAAAAGCAGTTCATAAATTGATTTACTGATCTGTCCAATGATCAGAAGGATATTGTTAATTTACTGTAATTGGTGTATAGATGGACATTTCATGTGACAAAGTCAGGGTCAGATCTTCAGTGTCCTCCTCTCCAGCCTGCTGTTTCCATAAAGGTTCTATTCTCTTTCAAATGGCAGCCTTTCTTAAGAGGGAGAGTGGAGAGGAGCTTAGCATCAGAGACTTACTTACTTTCTCTAGCTGCATTGCTTGCCATTCCTGCAGAGATTTGTTTTGAAATCCATGTGCTGGGGAAGGGGAAGCTTGCTCAATCAACCCTGGCTGGTCTGAGCCAAGTGCTGAAAAACAATGACTTACAGCATTTTCTCATTTCACCTTCTCCTCACTTTGAAGGCTTAAGCCCTGTGCGCTGATAAAAACGTATCCCATGTTAAATACATCAGTTTATAATATCTTATTTCATAAAATTCTAAAACAAATTGGCAGTAACTAAAATAGCTGAAAGCTACTTGGTACCTATTCTGGGACATGAATGTATTTTTGTTCAGAAGCATTCTGTGCAAACATGACAGCATTGATATTTCACGTCCTTGTTCTCAACTATGTAAAAGCTCTCCTACTGAAGCAGTGCTGTGTACAGTTGCAAGTGCCATTTCACAGGTGAACAGCCAAAGCAGCACACATTACATAAATGCAATGCAGTACCTTTGAGTATATTTTGTGTCAATTTCCCTTTCTCCTTCTAGAACGATTCACCCACAGAGAAAATCAGTATTGTTGGAGAAGAACTGTCTGCATTAAATGGGAAGGTATGACTGAGGAACTTCAGTTTTAAGGAGAAAGAGCAGTTCTTATGTATCCTCCAGGAAGTCTACCCTTAAGATTTTGGTATTATACAAATAAGTTTTAATAATAATGATAATAATAATAATAATTCACACTTTTAAACAGTAATTCCCAGTATCAGCACTGAAATACTTCTAAAAGTCCTGTTCCATTTCTTCCCACAACCTACAGAAATGAACCATCTTAAACTGATGCATGCAGTATATTCTCAGTGTTCTTCCTATACACACGATACTATACAAGACCTGATAGTTTTCCCAATATTTTATCCTTCTATACACAATTTCAGAAGAATTCTTAAGAAAGCAACAAAATCCGAGTATTTAAGTAATTCTAAGTAGCTAAGTGACAAGCTCCTTTGAAAATTGATTACAACTTACATGTGAGTGAAGTTTTAATACAAACTGTTTTGTTTTTTTTTTTTTTTTGGCTGTTTAATTTGCTGAAGCTCTTCATGTAAATAAAATACTTCCTTTTCTTTCCTTCCCTATGTGGTTCTTTTTCTAGAACGTGCTAGTAGTAGAGGTGAGTAATGACCTCTTATTTTTGGGAGGGGGGAAGGAAAGGTGTTGTTCTGCCTACTTCGCAAGGTTAATATTAATTACATTTAAAACAACACTTAATCACATTAGCTAAAGTATGCATATCATCTTAATGCATGCTAGAGCTGCTGTTTTTTCTGCTTTACGTTAATATACTGAAAACATGTTTTTTCTTTCAGACTTGAATGATTTTTTTTTTATTATTTCTTTGAGGATATTATTGAGACTGGTAGAACAATGAAGGCACTGCTTTCAAAACTGAAGGACAATGAACCAAAGATGATAAAAGTAGTAAGGTATAACCACATGGTTATTTATTAATGTGTGGTAATAAGATATAGGAAAATCACTGGTGAATTATCAAGACATGCACAAACATTGTTAAAATAATAAAAAAGTTTCACGGCTTTTTTTGCTCAGTCTATAAAGTCTGATGTATTATATTTATGTTCAAAAGAAAACAGCTCTTTCCATAGGTTTCCTAACACCTTTTCAGCTGCCTCAATACTAGAATGATAACAAGACTTATTGCCCCTCCTCGATATCCATCCTTAATTATCTGAGTTTGTAAAATCTTAGAGTTTGTCAGCAATTATGAAATGACTTCAAGAGGCATTCTAGACCTGCTTTTGGTTGGTATCTAAAAGGAATTATGTGGGAATATCCACGTAGACCAACTTCTGGGGTCTAACGTACCAGTTATGCTCCCTGCAGCAACCTTCCAGGTTCCCAGCATCTTCAGAAGTGCACAGGAAAATAAGGGATGGATATGACTTTATGGCAGGAATTGGAGTAACAACTCACAGCTTGTATTTGTCTCTATTCTCTCTCCCCTAAAACCTTTAAATGCTGCTTGAATTTCCCCATCTATCAGTACTTCCCTACTTTGTTGATGCATAACTATATGGAGGGAGGAACAAATGATTTGCAGTACAAAACTGAAAAGCTTTCAGTGTAAAGCAATAAATACCATTTGGACTTTTTGAATGATCCTAGATTCAAGGCTTCATTTATTTCTCTATTATAAGGCTGAAAACTACTACTAAATCTGTTAAAATAAAACAATAAAATTATTTTAACTGCATTACTATAGAAGCTTATTCAGGAAGGGAGGGAGAAGTGAAGAACAGAGCTTGGAGTATGACATTTTAAAAATCTTAACCTTTACTCCTCTTTATTACAGCTTGCTCATTAAAATGACAAACCGAAGTCCAGGTTACAGACCAGACTGTAAGTACTGCATTTGGTTGTCCAAAGTAGGATTTCATTTCATGTATATGAAAACTAGTATGTAAGTTTCAGGAAGGTCAAAAGAAATAGGGAGAAAATATATAAAAGCTTTAAAACTGACAATCGGTTTTATGCTTCATAAGTAGTTTTAAATGTATTCTATAAAAAAATATACGTATAACATTAACTGATAAAGATGGCATAGATTCTAACGTCGATCATCAATTTGCAGCTCTGACTCTTTAACGTTAAGCATTCTAAGTACCTTGAAAGCAAGATTAAATATTTCTTAGTATTATGCTTAAACAGATGAACCATATGTTGAATGCAAACTGCGGACCTAAAAGATATTTCTACTACCTAAATCAAAAAAGACCTGTGGTGTGTGTTTGTTTTACAGATATAGGTTTTGAAATTCCAGATAAGTTTGTGGTTGGATATGCCCTTGACTATAATGAGTACTTCAGAGATCTGAATGTAAGTATATATAAATGTGCCTTGACTGTTACATGCTTGTTAGTTACCTGTGGTAACAGTAATGAATATTACCTTATAGTAGGTGCTTCTGGACGACTAACAAAACTTCAAATTTGACTAGATACTTTCATGAAAAGGGCAAAAACAATATGATCAGATGATAACTTATATGCAGGACTACTAGTCCATGTCTTACCTGTCTGTGAATCTGCTTCACAAGCCTAGTAGCTCAGCCTTGCCACACAGTATCCTGAATCCTCCAGGACGGTTGGCAGCATACTCTGCACACTGCATCTAAAAAGAAATTAATTTGTGATTTGGTTTTGATTTCATGTTTCTTTGTGAAATTCTATGCTGTTTTTCTCTAGTAAAATATTCAAAACTGGCAGTAGACTGGCCTATGTATGAAGGTGTTTCCTATGCTGCAGAATGTGTCAATCAGGACTTCAACTCCTTGGTTCTGCTATAGTCTCCTTCGGCTGCACTGAGTTGTAGATAGACTCTGAGAGTGAGAGATTATTTTCTTTTCCCCTTCACAGTTTTTATAAGCATTTACATAAATCTGTTTAGATGGAAAAGTGTCTCACTTGAAAGTCTTTAATATGACAAACCAGTTCTGTTACAGACACAGTGAGATATTGCAAAACAGTGTAACGGACATTTCACAGCAAGCATAGTGTAACTCAACTTGCAAAATGTTATGTTCTAGTTCCAACAGGAGAATGCAAGTAGGAATGTAACTTAAAATACTCTTTAAATTACCTTTGAAGGTTAAGTTTGACTTAAGCTGCATTTTTTTTTTTTTTTTTTTTTTTTTTTTTTTTAAGCACATTTGCATTCTCAAAGAGAAAGCCAAAGAGAAATACAAAATCTGACATCATCAGTCTTCTGGACTAACAGCTCACCAGCCTGTACTGCGTGTGTGAAGAAGTGATCTACTAGCCATGCTCATTTTACTGAAGCACTACTCTGAGGAATGAATGCATTTCTAAAGACAAACTTCTGCATGTTTTTTTTTCCCTATAATTTTGTGATTAAGGATGAATGACACCTTTCAGGTGTTTCAATGGAATGAGAACAGAACAGTGGTCATAAACTTGATATCAGAACAAAGTGGATACAGAAAGGATGTGCATGTAAATATGTCTGAGTTTTTATTTACTGTAAGAAATAACACGGGTATTGTACATAAGCTACAAATTTAAGTATGTAAACATTTGTGAGTAGTTAAACAGGCTAAACAACAGAGAAAAAAGTAATCATCCACATAATTAGTGTGAATTACCACTCATCATCTCCAGTGCCATGGACTGGGGGGAGAGTCTGGGGCTTTATTTGCTTTTCCTTTGGTTCAGGTGTTTCTCGTGCTGCTGTGCTGCATATTCCCTGAGCTGCGGTGAGCAATGACATTCACAGTTAAGCGTTTATGCCAAGCCAGTATTGCTTCAACGAGCCACATCCGCCCCTCGCCTTTCCATCAGCGCACTCCACGCGCAGCTCCTCGTCCCGCGCAGCGCCCCGCCCCTCAGGGCGCCGCCTTTCCCCTCAGGGGGAGGAGCGTGCAGCGCCGTATTTGGGGGACGATGCCGACTCGTTCCGAGACTTTCTGCTTTCCCAGCTGACACCTAGCGCTACCCTTCCCCGCTTGCTGGCGTGCGGGAAGGCTGCGATGGCTCGTTTGCTCCCCCGGGCTGCTCCGTGCCTGACTGGCTGAAGCCTCTCCACGGCAGCCGCCTCAACGCCGCTGGGCGGGAAGCGGGAAGGCCGCTGCCGCCTCACCTGCGACCCCCGCCTTGCTCTGTCTGCCCGCCAATCAGAATGCGGATCCCGGTGAGCTCGCGTGTTGATTGGAGGGAGCCGTCGTCAGTCTGCAAGAGAGGGCGGTGAGAAGCGAGGGGAAAAGTCGCGCTCGCGTCGCAGGTGGCAAAGATGGCGGCAGCGGAGCAGGAGGACGGGCGGGAAGGGGAGCGCTCCGCCCGGCTCGGGTAAACCACGGCTTGACGGACGGCGGAAGGAAGAATGGGGCCGGCCGCCGCCTTCCTGGGCCCGCTGCAGAGGAAGGCGGCGCCGCGCGCGTTCTCCGCTGAGTGCCGGCCGCGGTGGGGCCCGCTCATCTCGTTGGCGGGACGAGCTGAGGGCCGGACCGCGGCCCTCACCTTCCGTGCCCCGCTGCGTTCCCACGGGCCGCATACAGCGCGGGGCGCCGCAGCTCTTGTTCCGTTTCCTTCCAGAGAGAGTATAAAAGAGAAAGCGAAACTCCGCTTGAGGGAGTGCGATGTTGGGGACAAGTTCTCCCATCTGCCTCTGCGCAAGGCCTCGGTGCTGCTGCCGCTGCTGCTGCGGGACGGCGTGCTGTGCCTGCTGCTCACCGTGCGCTCCGTGCAGGTGTGTGCGGGCCGGGTCCTGGCGATCTGTGCGGCAGTGAGAGGTGATTTCCGGCTCTGAAATGTTAAAGCAGAACGCAGAGAGTGAATTACGGGGTGTTGTACAAGCGTGTAAAACTGAGTGCCATCCTGTGTAGCTCTTGACAAGGCTCGTTTCTTCTGTCTGCAGAAACCTCGGGCCTGAGATGGTTCTGTAATGTGAGCTGTGCGAGGTGAAACAAACTTATGATGTGTAACTCCTTTAAATTCCAGCTGAGAAGATCACCTGGGGAGGTGTGTTTTCCAGGAGGTAAAAGGGAAGAAAGGGATAAAGATGAAATTGATACTGCTCTCCGGGAAGCCAAAGAAGAAGTGGGACTGCAGCCGGAGAAGGTGGAAGTCATCTGTAGGCTTGTGCCTGGGATTGATAAAGTAAGCAATAAACTCTGTCAGTGTATTGTTAGAAAGCAAGTAATTTCCTTTTGTATGGTTGGTAATGGCCTTTTCAAACCTGTAACTGTAAATAATCATAGGTTCTTAAAATATACAGCCTGTGCTGCTGGCAGAGTGAGGGGAAGAGATTCTTTCTGGAGTTTGTGAGACCACTTATGAAGTCCACTTGGAGAGTATCCAGAAGACAGTGGTAAATGGGTGAGAGTCTAGCAGAGAGCCAAGGAGATGCTAAGTGGGCTGGAGAATGTGAAGTAGGAGTAGAGGCTGAGAGAAGTGGGTTGGCTCAGCTTGAAGTTAGTGGGGGATCTCATTGTCATCTTCAAGCACCTCCTGAGTGGTTATGGAGAAGATGACGCTAGACTTGTCTTGACACAATGGACGCAAGCAGCAACAGGTGCTCACCATGTGGTTAGACAAGCAGTGGAATAGATTGCCTTGACTTTTAGGAAACTGGCAGGATTTATCCAGGCACACCTCTGAGCGCTATGATGTAACCTCAGAGTTATCTGATTCAACAACATGCTCAGAGCAGGATTAATTTAAATTGAAAGGGACCTCTGGAGGTTGTGTAGAATGATTCTGTATGGAAATTAAGATGTTATCGGCATTGAAGTCATTGTGTGTAAAGTAACAGGCTGCCAATTTCAATAGTGATATTTAGTATTGTGTGGGACCAGTTTTCCAATAGAGGGGAAAATTATTCAAAAGTGTTGATTTTTGTTCTTCAGGTAAGTTTTCTTATTAATGCGTCAACAATCAGTTTCTGTTAGCTGCTTACTTTCAACAGTATGCTCCTCACATTTGAAAAAATATTAAAATTGCAAAATGCTTTAGTTAACTTTTTTTAATACAAATAACATAAAAACCACGTACTTCAGAGGCTATATGTAAAAAGGATCACTTCAGTTTTCAGGTTAAGTGGTTTTGGACTGCAGAAGTCTGGGCGCTTAGATTGTGCTATGTTTTCTCTACACATACATTCAAAGCAATTTAATTTAAATGGAGTCCCTCCAGACTTCCATCAAATAACACAGATGTTGAGCTTTGCCATCAGTGCTTCCTGTTGAGCAGGGATGCTTTCATGTTACTAATAAATAGAATTAGTAATAGGTCTGAAAGAATTACGGTATGGTGTTCATACAACTTACTATTTTAAATAAATTGCCCCTGCGTTTGAAAGAGGGAATGAATGTAAACAACCAGCTCCAAAAAAAAGTGCATATATCTTCTAGTTAAGATTGTTTCCTGTGCTCCTTTTGTAACATCTGAAATGTTTTTAAAATAAAGGAATTACTTTTGCTTGGTTCAAGCTTAGTGTTTGTTTTCTGTCTTTTTTTTTTTTTTCTTGTTCTTCTAGATGAATCATTTGATAACACCAGTTGTAGGATTTATAGAGGATACCTTCCAGGCCTCTCCTAATCCAGATGAAGTGAGCGATGTTTTTGTTGTGCCACTGGAGTACTTCATCAAGCCCTTAAATTACGTGGCCTTGCCGTTTAAAAACTCATCTGGTTACTTAAGCTGGATGCACTGCTTTACATATGATGACCACGAACGTAAAAAGTCATTCAAGATAGGGGGACTTACTGCACATTTTGCTGTATTTCTTGCTATTGTAATTTTTAGGACAAAACCCACCTTTGAAGTTCATTATGATCTTGACAACTTAATTGCATCTGCTGAGAATGGTTTTATGAACTTGTATGCATCCATAAAGGAAAGAAAGAAGAGTAGTCTATAACAGGCTGGTCTGATGGTCTCTTTTAAAGGAGGAAAAAGGTTTGGGCTTGTTTTCTTTGTATCCATTACTTGACTGAATTTCACATTTGCATTCCTGCTGAATTGGAAAACATTTTTTAATAAAACCGAGCTGTCGATCACTAACTAGATTCATAAATTTTACCTGGTTTTGAGTTATCAAAAGCACACAGTACTTTTTTTTATCATACAGGTTTAGAAGGTCAGGTTCAGTTTCTGCCTTTGTTTTGTGTGATTTGAGGCTGACTTTCTGTGCCTTTCTTCCATTTAATGAAATAAAACTTTTGATTTTTGCCTGTTTGAAATAGAACATAAAAACTTTTTGGAATCTGTCCACATCTTACTATATGCCATATTGCATATCTTCAATGCATACACTCTTGTTTGCTATCTTTAACCACTTGAAAAAATGCATAGTAAAAATATGAAAGGTGGCAAGTGCTTTTACAGTTTATTTTGTTTTGGTTGGGGCTGTGGAGGGAGGGAAGGAGAAGGTTCAATGAGTTTTATACCTCTTGCCCTATTTAATACTTCTCCCTGAATTTCTCTAGGCCACGGAAAGCTTAGTGTACATGTAATGGAACTGAACTTTGCTCCTCAGCGTCATTAACATCATTCTCTCAGCTTCAACAATCACTTTAAGGAGAGAAGAGTGTTATTCAGCATTCATGAAATCTTAATAATGCTCATCTGCGGTTGAATCTGTACCAATAGCGCTGGTATTCTTTGCACAGTGAATCCTTATTGACTAGCTGCTATTGAACTAGAAGCTTATTTATAGTGGTCACAGCATTGTTGGCAAAAGGTTAATTTTTAAAAAGTGAGTTTGTCTGCAGTTGGGAAGTTAACAGGTTGCCAGTTTATAAATTGCAGGTCTTTGAGCAGCAGGGATGAAACTCCTGGAGAAGTAGTAGCTGGGTTTTGAAAGAACAGTTTTTATTTGTCACTGTTAAACACCTGTGAAATTATTGAAGCATTTGTAAAAAGAGAAAACTGCAACTTTAAGCACTTGATCATACTTGTATGAAGTTTCTCTCAATTCTAGTGTACGTAGGAACAGAAAATAATTAAAATGAGAACGTTGTTAACTAAAATAGGGCAAACCAATTGGACCTTTGATTAGTAAAGAGGTACTGTGAGCCATAATTACTAAATTACTAAATTCTCAGCAGAATTATTTTCTTTCATCCCTTAATGGAATCAGCTGCAGAAATTGTACAAATGGTACGAATTCAAACTGCACTTTGTTTTTATTTCTCTTTTCTTAATGTGTGGAACTGTAAGAACAGGAACAACAGTTACAGCTGTTACTCCTGTAGATATTGAGTCAAAACATTTGAACTAATAGAAAAATGGGGTTCATAGAGGTCCACACAACCAAAAGTCCTTGAGTAATCTGCTCTAAAGCCACTAGAATTAATGCTTTTCATTCTACGTAATTTTATTGACACTAATTTTGAAATTTGGGAAGTTCCTTTAACTAAAAAAATTCTCCAGACAACCATCTGGCATCTGAGTTCCTAAACACCCCCTTTGAGCACAAAAACAATAGAAGGAAACAATTGCCTGCACTACAGCTGCAATTCTGCAAGTTTCACAGTAGCTAATGGGAGATTGTTTCTTTGGGCAATCTTTAGATAAAACTGCCACAGTTCTTGAGGCAGAAATGAGAGGAAGATTCCATCCTACAGTTCTCATACCTAATGAGTGTCCTGTTCACACTCAATTTCCTGCCTTCAAGAGGGAAGGAGTGTGCCCCAAGCAGAGAGAGCATCATGAACTCTGGTATTTCCCTGACTGACACTACCTGTGTTCAAGAACTGAAAGTGTGTTTCCCTCATCATGGAAAAGTGCTCTGTTGAGTTGGACAGCGCTTCAAAAGGGAGCTTACAGCTGTTCTGCACTTTGTATTTGTGAGGGAGATCATGACTGTACATTATGTGAGATCAAACTTGTTTCCTGGGGGTGATGGATCTGCCTGGTGCTGCAGGGAAGATGTGTAAACTGAAAACAATCTGGCAAATACCTTGTTCTGGTAATTTCTTATTAGAATGCACTCTGCTCTTTGAATTAGTTCACAGCCTACGTCAAATAATTCTCCATCGTATTACAGATAAAATTTTATGTATCAGAAAAAGAGCCTTTTTGTTCCATGGAGCAAATGCCTTGCAGCTTAACACTGAATGTTACAGTGCCTAAAGTCTGTTTCTTTAAAGTTTGTCTTTAGAGTAATGTAATAAAGCCCTTACCAAGAACTGGGTGTCCTGTTCTCTCTTGTAGCATAGCTGAAAATTATTAAAAAGACATGTATTTTATTTTGAACATAGTGATTTAAAGGACCCCTTTATTTTGAATAATTGATTGCAAATCATCTGGCCTTTGTAAGTACAGTGTGTTAATAACATAGCTTCCAATCTGAAAAAGTCTTTTATATTTATTTACCCTCTGTGTTTATTCTTGTGAACAAATCAGTAAGGTCATTACTCAACTGAAAAAAAGCTATTGAAAATATATTCCAGAGTACAGTCTCTAATTATGGGTATGCAATGCTAATGTGACAGTAAAATGAGTGCAAAGGCTTAGATCACATTAGGAAAATTACTAATATAAAGCTAACTAAAAATAAGTAGCATACAGTTTAACGTGAGTTGTTAGTCACTCTTTTAGTTAAGGTGCAGTGATTCAGCATTTAAGATTTCTATATTTTTGAGTGCTCAATTAATCAGACTTTTGGTATTTCGCTTTCATGTGAAAATTTACCGTGTATCTGAATGGGATGAGTAAATTAATATTTAACAATTATAATAAAGAACATTTAGTGAAATAGCTTTAAAAGGTCAATACTATGTGGCAGCAGTTTTGTGTCGGAAAAACAAAACATTTCATTTCAAGAAGATGGGTGTATGCAGTTTAAATGCCTGTCACTGTTGCATGGCTAGAGTTCATGCAGGGTTAAGGCTCTTACAATTAGATGAGAATGTAAATGTTCAGGAAAGGAGATTATTTATATTCAGCCTATGCCTAAGTTGTATAAGCAATGAAAATTTGGAGATGGTTTTGTCTTTCAAGCACAAGCTCATGTGAGTGCTTACATGCCAATGTGTCTGAGGTACTTACTGTGATTTTTTTAGTAGGTTGCCATAGCGATGCAGCTTTCAAAACAGTGTTAAACTATCTCCAGTTAAAAAAAAAAAAAACACATTATCATAAAAGGGTCCATAGGTAATTCCTCCTTCTCTCTAACCTTACCACTTCCAAAATCTAATCTTAGAAATAAGAAAAACAGAAAAAAGAATCACATTTGTTTCTGATTCCTTGCAGAAGCTACAGTTTCGTAGCCAGAATTTCCATTAGTGTGTGAGATTCTGAGTTGCAAATTAGATTTCTTTTTTATTGACAACTAAATAGTAAAATAAAGGCTTCATGTTTGTAATTATATTTCCTGTACCATACGGTTGTCTGTTCCTTTATACTTCAGATGTAGGCTAGGTTCTGCTTGTTGAAGTGTGCTATAAAGGAAAATACCCAGGTAATAATGAAACACTAATGAAGAATAATCATCCCGTTTGTCAGAACCTGCTGAAGGGGAACGGTTGTTCAGTAGCTAGCTAGAGACTCATTTTTTTGGACGTGCTTTCTTCTAAAGGATTGCTGAATTCAGGATGAGAATGCCCAGCTGTGACCATTCACTGACAGAAGTCTGTAGCAGAAATGCTAAGTGATGGCCTGAGGCAGTGATTGAGCACCTGGTGGGAAGGCAGGGCGAACCCAGGGGAGCTCAGGTGCATGCAATGCATCTGAGTGACGAGGAGTAGAGCCAAGATCCACCCCTTCCCAGACTTCATTTAAGGGTTGGCAGTGGAGGTGATGGCATCTCTTACTGGAGATCACTGCCTACCTGAAGCCTTCCAAAGGTAAGCAGCTCTTTTCATTCATTTCTGTGGCTGCTGTGTTTGTCTTTGTTCTCGTTTGCTGTAATTAAAGACTTTGTCATCCCGCTATTATCATCCCATTGTTGCATTTCTTACATCTTTGTTGATCTCCAGTCTTTTGTAAGCCACAGTTGGACATGCAGTGTTACAGATACACCTCTATATTTTATCTTGCTGCTGCTGCTGTGTTTGTCTGCTAGCCCAGTGGTGTTAAAATATTTGCATGAGAAGCTGGCATCCCCTTTTATGCCAGTAGTAAAACTAGAACTGGTGGCAACAAACATGGGAACTGCTCTTCAGTGGAAAGCTAAACTTGCCTCTGATATCATCATAGTCTTCCAGAGCCTCTTTAAGAGGCTTGTTGAAATAGAAATGAATAATCTTGGACAGAAAGCTCAAAATGTGTTGGAAGGATTAACGATATAGAGATGTAAATCTTTATTTAAATAAATTTGTAATAGAAACTAACACCTATAGGATAGGACTTGACAAGCTGGACATTTAAATACTCTTTATTTCATTCTCCATTTTAAAGAGAATGAATGGAAGAATTTCTAGTAATTTAATTGCAGCTGGTCTGTATTTGGCATAAATCTCAATTTTATTGACTTAGGCACAGCTGTACCAAATTACATGCTCAAGACTTTAGTTTGTACAGCATATCAACTTTAACTGATAATATATATTATCACAATTATATTTGATCTTGTAACTTTCATTATTTTCTCTCTTAACATTGGCATAATAATCCTGTTTGTTTAGAATATTGAAGTTGTTTTTAAAGTATTAGGGGACATCCTAAATCTAATAACAGTGTATTTTTAGATCATCTATAGTACCAATTTGCTGGTATTTATGGGAACTCAACTGAATAAAATGGGAGTGCTATATTTCAGTGCCAGCTTTCATGCTAAAAATGGAAGCTATACAGAATTCACTGTTTACTTTTGTCCACTAATCAATAAATTAAAGATAAAGTAACTAATGAATTAATAGCAAACGTAACCAAGGCAGTGGTTGGAAGACTGGAACTACTGTTATCAGAAAGGCAGTTATTTTAAACACCTGGTATCGAATTGTTCCTTACCTGAGTAATTCTCTACATCATCAGGCACAAAATGGCTAAAAGGCAGCAAATCTTACTGACTGAGAGCTTGTAACAGGCTTGTGAAAGCCTGTTAATGTGAACTAAGATAAAGGCAGCAAAAAGAGAAGTATCATTTGGAGGCCAAGAGCATAGGATTTCTGTGACTTAGGAGCAGGATCTGCCTGATGAAGGGAAACAGCAAAGCACTGGTGTGGTTATGATTAAATTTCCCTTCCAATAAGGGAAAAAGAATTTGTAGGATACTAATGGCAGAAAAGAGCTGTGCTCTGGAGAGAAGGGATGAGCAGCCAGCACTGCATGTGCACCACAAGAGGGTGCCACCTCCCAGGTGCTGCGCAGCAAGCCTGGCCAGGTAAGACTCCTATCGGAGTGGGCAGAACAACGTCCTTAGATG